AGAAGCATGCTAAGGATATATATGCGAAATACGATTAAACTAATTTGTAGAACCTTAAGATTGAAACATGGCGGGAGCCTAATGCTGGTTTTGAAAGCTAAGTTCAAAACCCAACTCTTTCTCAAATATATGAGTTTTACAGTTGTTCCAAGCAACTGTTACGACCCAAGATGGCTTGAGCCTAGCTTGGGCTTAGAAAGTTGAGGATATCAGTAATCAAATGGTCTGTGGACTAGACTGAATCGGTGGTCGGGCTGGACTTTGATTAACGAGTGATGGGCTTCTCCTTGAGAGACCTACAAACAAACTCTTGAGAACCCATTGGTGGGTGTCCTCCTCAAGGGCCCTCCAACAATTAAGTTAGATATGCTTGCGGAAGAAGATAATCGGAGAGCAAGAGTGTGTAAGAGATAACGTACAGAAAACATAACATAGTCCTGGTCAGGTCGGCTTTCCTAGACGCACTACATAGAATTGTTTCCCAACCAGGTCAGCCTCTTGATTAGGTGAGTGTGAGTGCTTGCGAGCCCAACGGATCTGACTGGGCTGACCTCGCTGCAAAGAGATAGTCTGACCCCTCAAAGCCTGTGCCTGGGCCATCTTGGGCCTTTAACAGGGTCCATTAAGTCTACCTCTTATCTGCATACATCAAAAGTTATGCTAAATCCAACCCTACCTCAGTTATACAACTCCTGTAGTTGTCCCATGAAGGCTAACATAGTGTAGGTTCCTTTCCTTTTCTGTTTTTTGATACATATAATGACCCTTGGGAGAAAGATTTTAGATAAGAAGCAATAGTACCATATATTAGAGAAAAGGCAAAAGATTTGAATTTTCTCCTTTTTCCTTAATCATTGATCTTTAGCACCCATACTTCCTCCTTATGAGTGGTGGGACCTATTTAGATAACTCAATGCAATTCTAAAACTGCATAACTCAGATAAACGAAAACCATGGAAGCATTTCATGTTTGAACTCAGAATCCTTATCCTTCTTGAATAATTAACTACTTAAGAGCAGCTACAAGAAGTCAATGAAACACATATAAATTTGGCCCAAGGAACCAAATACAGATGCAATTTTGAATCTAGAGGCCTTGTGTGAAAAATCGCTCACTAGAAAATCAAATAAAAGAATAACAAATGGCGTGGTTTAAGATTTTGAAAGCTGATTAACAGTAATTGTGATATTTTCTTGTGTTTGTGCATATACAATTTATAATAGATCACAATAGGATGACATAACAGTATTCAACACTATTGATTGATGCCAAGCATGTGTGGGTGTTCATGACATAACAAAAATGGTGTTATAGAAATGAAATAGAACACTACTAAGATATATTGGTATGTGTGGGTGTTCATGTAGTAGTGAGAACTTGTTGTTTACTTGTGATAATCTGGTTGTTCTTGTAGAATCTTCATTAGAGATACCTAGTCATTTTTTATGAATCTCTATATCATAATCTATCAAGAGCATTGTAGAAACTTTTAGTTTCTTCATTAATATGCTTCATGCTAGAAATGCTTCTAGTATGCTTGATAGTTTTGATTCAGGTTGCACCACCGGGATGCAATAATCAAATATATGTCTGCCTACTTTAAACCAAGCTAACAATTGACTACTCAAAAACTTTAGATGATAGTGTGGCATGTCTTAGTTGCTTTTACATTTACAAATGGATCGGCCCTTCTTTCCCAATTGGTTGTAGAGCCTTTTTTCTATTTTCTATGTGGTAAGTCTGTCTTGTTGAAGCGTTTTGCTTGTTTAATGAGTAGTGTTTTAAACCTTGATAAATACTAAGCTTATATAGCTACAAACTCTCTTTTTGATAGGTTTCCAATCATCCAATGTAAAAGGCTATATTGCTTGCAGCAGCTAAAGTAGATGATTATGGCCAAATTGCTTTTCTTGTTATCTTGCAATTTCTTGATATTTTAGAATAATTGGGCTAGAAACTTCTCTAATCTACATACACAGAGAAGAAAAGTTGATTATTGATTAACTATAAAACTTCTGAAAAACCACATCAGCCTCTAACTATAACCAACTCAAAAAAATCAGAAAAACTTCATTATGATTTCTGCTCTTTGGAACATATACATCTCCTTTATCATGTTTTGGCACAATGTCACATTGAGCTGGGTTCAAATGAAATACATTATAAAAATCATGTTGAACAACAATACCTACGTTTAGAAGAAATTTGTACCCAGTGAAAGAATGATTATCAAGTAAATTCTGGTTTAAAAATTTAACGCAAGCATGAAAAATGTTCCAATTAAGATAACATGACACGATATAATATAAATATAAATATAAATAAACACAAACAAATAAAACATAACAGAAAAAAACGATTATAAGATTATTAAAAAAAACCATAAAATAAAAAAATATGTATGAAACAACCACAATATGTTTGAAAACATATATACACATGATGAAATGAGAAAATGCAGGCATGAGGCAATAATGATTGGCGAAGAATATATTATATATGCAACAACCAACGTGACAAAAATAGAAGATTTTTTTGTGGTTTTGTCCTCGTGTTTTTTAAGTACTTTCTACTCTCACTTGTGCTTTCTTTGTTTTGTGATTTTGAACATTACATTTCATTTTGTAAATGAACCCTGGGTTTGCAGAAATCAGACTCGAGGCTTTTGACAAAGAAAGTTAAGCCTTATACTGGCACATTTTTTGTAACATACATGTCAATGATTTCTTTTTCTTTTTTTTTTCAAATTAGTAGAGAATGGTTTTAAATTATGGACTGAATGGTGATTTTGATTTGGATTATTGCAATTTTGTTTCTTATTTTTCAATATTTATCATGATTTGATGACTTTATAATCAGATATACCTCAAATAACAAATATATAAAGATCTCTCGTAATGCCCCATTTTATGTATCAAAATTTCAAAGTTCAAAAATTTAATCGTCACTTTCCCATATTACCTTATTTTCAAAGGGTTAATTACACCAACACCCTCTCAACTATTAGAGAATATCACGTTACCCCCCTCATCTATGAATCCGTACATTTTGACCCCTTCAATCATATCATATTGAGGATGGGGCCCTTGTTGATCCATATGATTAAGGCTGAAAAAAGCAAATTCTTCATATCAAATAAAAATCATTTCAATTACTTCAGTATTTAGTGAACATTGTGAACAGCAAGCCAACTGCAAACTCAACTTAAGCAAGTTTCCAAGTTGAGTGCATTTATAGATCTCAGAACGGTATTCAACCCAATAAAATGGTTGAAACACACATTTTGCTGAGCATTTGATTTTGACTCAAACATTGATTTATCAGGATATCTTAGCAACTTAACCAGATTTTACAGGTCACATAGAAATAAAATTGCTCATACACCATTATGCCCATAACAGAGTCTAAATTGCAAGATTTGAACCTAACCTGAACTCTGGCCAAGGCAATAATATGATTAAAAGAAAATTTTCTTCCACTCATACAGGACAGGGAAAAGATACAATCGGGAATAACAAGCAACTGACATGTCCACTATTAAAGTCAACTGATACACGTTACTCAGCTCCAAAAATATCCTAACCTGATAATGATGAAATTGTAAGCTGCAAGGAGAATGCAAAGCAATTTCTTCACATGCAGAGGAATAGAGCCGAGTCAGGTCATGATCAAGCATATCAGCTGCAGGAAGCACTAACCTAACCTCTTCAGTAAGACATGATACTCCCTTGAGGAACGGATTCTACAGATCAATAAAATGAGAAGAATGGTAAGCACAGACATAACAAAACAAAAAGGTACACCAGCTGCAAAGAGGTAAAATTCCTTCAGTTGTCGTATAGAAGCGAACCAGTCTTTCACCATAAAATTGATGCAGTAGAATGGCTGAGACCATCCCAGCATCAGGATACCACTGGTGTAGCACTGAGGAAAATACATTGAACTCCCTCTCAGCAATCAATCTTAGTTCATTTGCAAGTAGAGCCAAAGGATGTGTCCTTTCCATTTTAGATTCAAGATCTATGGTATTTGCAACCTGAGATTATTAAGGCAACATGTCAACTACATCTAACTACACTAATGGCCATCCACAGAAATAGAAGACCAGTGCAGTCAAAAACATGACCAACCCGCCAATATGCAGCTTTGATGGACGTTTCCACATATAGTCTGAGCTTTCTATCAGCAATCGCATCCAGAGCATCAGATTTGGAAAACTGCAAGCATAAGAACCTTGGCCATTAAAAAAATTAATAACAGCAAAAACTGACATTTATTCAAATCAACATGGAAGAGAAGTTTAGACTTAAAAAACAAAAAGACAAATCTGCAAAAACTGCACAGACTACAACAATTAATGAAGATGAAGAAGTGTAGACACCCATTTTCATTGATCCTAAGACTTTGGGTGCGGTGCTTGCAAGCCTCCCAATGATGAAATGGTAATTACTTCATCCTTGGAATATTTAAAGTTGTTTGGAGTTGTTATATGAACCTGTTTGGCCAAAAATCAATTTTTTGCGAAAATGACCATTTTACTCCTGAACTCGTTTTTAGCCAAAAACCAACTTTTAACCCTGAGAAAGAGAGAGAGAGAGGCCCGGTTGTACTTTGATCGAATATATTTTCCAAAATTAGAGACCAGTCTTATCAAAAACATCAATTAGAGGGCAATTCAGGTTTACTTGAGCCACAAACAAGCCAAGGGTGTAGAACCCCGCACTTGTGCATACATGCATGGTACATATACCAAGGCAAAAACGTGAGTGCGCACAAGGTTTGTGCGTGCGCACATCCAAGCGTGACAGAGATATTTTTGGTAACTCAATCTTGGTGCATTTCTGGTGGGAGGCGGAAGAGAAAGTGATGGGGTTGCCCTAGCTTGCCCCCCCTGCCTCCTAGTGCCTATATAAGCACCCTCTCCCCCTCGCTTTCAAAAGGTTAACAAATTGAAAACTTTTGTGAGGTTTTTGAGAGCCAAACACCTTCTTCTCCCTTCCTCTAACCTTAGCTCGCAAAATAACACACCCCAAGGTAACTCTGAACTTCTGAAAACATTCTAAGGCTTGAAGAACATGAACCCTAATCAGAACATAAGCTTAAGGGAGGTTTGCAAGCAAAGAACTCGAGCTTTCTTTGCGTTTTCTTCACGTTCTCTTCAGTTTACTGAAACCAAAAGGTAAACTCATTTTCTCTATATTTCAGTAGTTCCTTCCTGCATTTTTTAGTGTTCATTCATGTTAGGGTGTTAGCTCATCATCCCATCATGTAGTTTATTAGTTTTTCTATCTTTTTCAGTTATCTTCACATGTTCTCTTTATTTCTTATTAAACAGCATGTTTTAGGCTCACTTTAATCATGTAATAAGCATGCATAAGCCTGGTTTGATCATCACGTAGTTTTAGGTTATTTTTGTTTTCTTACTTGTTAGTTGTTTTCCTTGCATAAGCCTCATTTAGTAGCCTCAAACCGGGCCTAGGTTCATGTTTTGCATGTTCAGCTGTATGATAGGACCGTATCTATGTTGTGGGCATCCGGGTAAGTTTTCTTGTCCTCCTTGGCATATGTGTGCTATTTGCATAATCTTTTAAATAATGCAAGTTTCTATATTCTTCTATGCAAAATTGTATGTTTTGAATGCTTTTTTATGAAAATTATTCGTTTTAGGCTGAATTTATGGCCATGGGTTGATAAAACCTACCTTTTTATTAAAAATCATCATTTTGAGAAAATATGACTTTATTCTCTTAACCTAAAGTAAATAATTTTCATTTTATTCAAATCATATATATAGTCTTAGGTTAGTTAAGGGTTTTAGGGCTCAAAGTGAATTTATGTAAATAATTAACCACTAAAATCATAAAATAGAAAGTGAGTAGAAGCTAATCTTTGGATTAGGCAAGAGGGGTACTATCATTCTATAACCTTCCCCTCTTGTATCTAAGCTCTTGAACCTAGAATTTTCTCGGTTGTGATGGATTGGTCGTTAACTTAGTTTTCATTGTTAAAGGTTTCTTAATTTCCCTTAAAAAATTAATTGGCGACTCTTTGTTGGTCAAAGTAAGTCGGAGTGGGATGCATGCCTTATACTCGAAAAGGGCACGGCACCCACAAGAACCATGAAGACGAAAAACATAGAGCATAACTGTTAGGACAACCTTCACTTAAGTAAAATGAAAAATGGGATTCTACTAAATGACCACATCCTCTAAGTTAAAGGTGTGAAGAGGTAAAAACAAAAAGAACAAGTTCTAGGACCAACTATATCTTACCTATTGACTTAAGATATCAGATGCGAATTATTATTTAGATGGAAATAGAATCACCCCTTTAATGACAAAGGTGGTCGTCAAATCATCACCTCAAATCATATTGATATTAACTCATAGGTCTGAGCAGCTTCAAGTGAGCCGTTTGGCTTGCACATAAGGTTGGACTAGAGTGAGGGCAAGAAGGAGCCTCCTACGATTTGAAAAACCTTATTTAGTAATATTAGTTAATGATTATCTCTAAATTGTAAAGACTCACCACTTTTATGTTGTTTTTTTTAATTTTTAAGTGATCACCCCCTCTAAGGTTCTAAAAAATTTAAGGATATGTTTGTTTGTACGGATTGGATAAAGGGAAATTGGAATTTATCAAACTGTTAGTCTTGTCATACGTTATTCCTGGACTATTTGATTGAATTGGATTTGTATCTCATGTTTGTTTAATCATGGGATTAGATGTCAGGAAATAACTATTTGGTTGGATAGGATATGAATCCTATGTTTGTTTGGGATATTATAGAGAATGATAAATATTCAAATGACTATTTTTCCCTTTTCAATTATTTACTAAGTAATAGCAATATTAAACATATTTTTAATATTTTAATTATTTTTAACTAGATTAAATAAAAAATTATTTTATTTTATTTTATTTTTTACAAAATTAAATAAATTTATTTTCAAAAAATTAAATAAATAAAATATATGTTATTTTTTTAATAAAAATTTTAAATAAATTTATTTTAAAAAATAATAATAATTAAATAATGAAATTAAATAAAACATCTATTAAAATTTAAATAATGAAATTAAATAAAATTTTTAAAAAAATTTAAAATAAAATATCTATAAAAAAATTGAATAAATAAAACATCAATACAAATTAAATAAAATTATTTTATTTTTAAATTGAACATTTAAATTTTATTGAATTTTACTAATCTCATATCCCCTCTTATCTCTCCATTTATGTCCCAACCCCCCCATGGGACACAATAATCCAATGCATTTGGGACTAATAGTCTGGTACAAAAATTTTGAACCAAACAACGGACTATTAATCTAAATGGACTAATAGTTCAATCTCACCCTTTAATCTCTCAAAGCAAACACCATCCAAGTGGGTACTCCACTAAACCTATAGAACATGGGTGTCGAAATATGACATTAAAAGTTTTGGACAATTTAACACACACACACACACACACACACACACACAAATTCTCATACCCAATATCAACTCTAAGTATTAACCTGCAATACGAGAAAATAGGAGAGGAAAATTCAATAAGTAACTTGATAAAATTTATTGAGAAACACATAGTTCAAGTTTTGAATTTGATCCTATCATAGATACCATAAATAACATAAAAGATCGTCAAGCATAACTCAAGATACCACACTTAGTAAATAGATTATTTTACAATTGTTACCGTTTGTAACTAAACATGGATACAAGAACACATACTTGTTTATATTTGTTGGGTCTTTCTTAGATATGCCTTGCACACCATATACAAGGTACTTATACACTTTTCTGTTTTTGATTATTCAAGTTTGTGTTACTAGTTATACAAATTTTTGTTAAAACTTATATATTGGTGACCTGCTAAGCAGGTCACCTTACAGGTAAAACTAACAAAATAATATATTATATTATGTACATGTAAGTATTTTTAGAAAAATGTGTAAATTTTCACGAAAACGTGTAAGCCTTTTCACAAAATATTTGGAACAACACAAAAGGCGTAAGTTTTTACAAAGAGAGTAAGTAATTTCACAAAAAGGTATAAGTCAATATAAAAAGCCGTAAGTTTTCACAAAAGGCGTAAGTTTTCACAAAGAGGGTAAATGATTTCACAAAAAGGCGTAACTCACAAAGCCATAAATTTTCACAAAAGGCGTAAGTTTTCACAAAGAGAGTAAATAATTTCACAAAAAGACATAAGTCAACACAAGAAGCCGTAAGTTTTTACAAAAGGCGTAAATTTTCACAAAGAGAGCAAGTCAACACAAAAAGAGTAAGTCAAAACAAAAAGGCATAAATTCTCACAAAAGGCGTAAGTTTTCACAAATAGAGTAAGTGATTTCACAAACAAGCGTAACTCAATAGAAAAGGCATAAGTTTTCACAAAGAGAGTAAGAGATTTCACAAAAAGGTGTAAGTTTTCACAAAAGGCGTAAGTTTTCACAAAGAGAGTAAGTGATTTCACAAAAAGATGTAAATTTTCCCAAAGAGAGTAAATGATTTCACAAAAAGACGTAAGTCAACACAACAAGGCGTAAGTATTCACGAATAGAGTAAGTGATTTCATAAAAAGGCCTAAGTCAATACAAAAAGGCGTAAGTTTTCACAAAAGGCTGAAATTTTCACAAAATGTGTAAGTTTTCACAAAAAAAGTAATTGATTTTACAAAAAGGCATAAGCCAACACAAAAAGGCACAAGTTTTCACAAAAAGAGTAAGTGATTTCATAAAAAAGCATAAGTCAAGCGTAAGTTTTCACAAAGAGAGTAAATAATTTCACAAAAAGACGTAAGTCAACACAAAAAGACATAAGTTTTCACAAAAGGTATAAGTTTTCACAGAGAGAGTAAGTGATTTCACAAAAAGGCGTGAGTTTTCACAAAAGGCGTAAATTTTCATAAAGAGAGTAAGTGATTTCACAAAAAGGCATAAGTCAACAGAAAAAGCGGAAGTTTTCAGAAAAGGCGTATGTTTTCACAAAGAGAGTAAGTGATTTCACAAAAAAAACGTAAGTCAACACAAAAAGGCGTAAGTTTTCACAAAAAGAGTAAGTGTCACGCCCCGGATTTACGAGGTCCGGCCCACATGAGTAAACCACCCAACGATAGACGATCACTAACAACACTCATGCAGATGTATATAATATAAGCACACAGTACATGTGTTATTCCAATTTTTTACTTTCTTAGATACAACATCTAAGTCAAATGAATGCTCTGTAATAAAAAGATACAAATATGTTATATATCAAATTAAGATATCCAAAGGCTTACATCATATACAAAGGGTATAACCCTTACAAGAATGACACACGGCCAACAAATACATAAACGACCCTTGGCCGACAAATAAAGGAACCACCCTACACAGTTCCAAACACAACTTCAACGTCTCAGTCCACATCCGTATAAGCATACCTGAAAAATATTTTCAGCCACGTAGGGTGAGCATGAAGT